TCCCCTGTCAATATTCCACAAAACCGGGTGGGCAAACCCAGCAGAGCCCTGGCGTCTCGGTGGCCACTCACAGGACCCCCCCCCCGTCAACCCCACCCCTGCCGGCGGGTTATCTCCAGCAGTGAGGGCCTTATATTTTCCGCAAGAACATAATTGTATTCCGAAGAACAAACGGTTATGTGCTTGGTTCTCCCGCTCTGTACTTTTATTACACCACAACCCTGCAGGGTAGCACTTTTGCCCACCAAATTCAACGGCCCTGTGGAGATTTGAACTCGGGCCTCCCTGCTGAGAACAATTGAAAGGGGGAGAGGGTGTTATATACCGTAATAATAGTTCAGGATCTCCTCTCGGTGTTGATGCCCATCCTCTGTCTTTCACGGGGTGGAAACAGAGTCGGTGCTGCATGCCTCTGGTGCGAACCCTCTGCTCAGAGATTATCATGGCTTGCTCGGTGACGGAGGTGGTGCGGTTTGGGGCCTGGCCAGGTTACCTGTGCCAACCAGACCCCCCTCTCCCCCCCCTTCAGCCGTCTTCATGTCACCGGGGCGGGCAGGAGGGTGCAAAAACAGCCTCCGTGGCAGCCATCCCGAGGGGGGGTCGTCTTTCACTAGGCTCCCAGCCAAGCCTTTTTCACCATGCAGGATCCGCTCCCTGTCCCCCCTCCCCGGAGGGTGCAAAAACAGCCTCCGTGGCAGCTGTCCCGAGGGGGTCGTCTTTCACCAGGCTCCCAGCCAAGCCTTTTTTCACCATGCAGGATCTGCTCCCTGTTCCCCCCCCCGCCGCTAGCCCGAATTTTATTTAGAAAGGCTTCATTCTTTCTCCGACGGCTCAGGGAAACATCCGAGCATTTCTGGGCATCGGCAGCAACTGCTTTGAGATCCGTGTTGTTTGAGGTTGCAGTGGTTCTGGGGATTTTCAAGAACGCTTTTTAAGAACATCCGTCCTATAAACAAGGAGCTGCAGAACTGATAGGACAAGGACAGTGAGGGGTCCCAGGATGCTGAGAAGGGAGGGTTTGTGGACTGGGAGGCGGGGGGGGTACCTCATCTCGACATTTTATTTACCTTTTCACGTGAACTTGTGTGCCTTGTGAGCTTCGTTTGAAAACACTGAGGTCTAGAACCTTGCTTAGTAAAAAAAGAAAGCTGAAATTAAGATCCTTTGAGCCACTTGTAAAAATATAGAGATCCATTCTGCACAAAGGGAACCCAAGACAGTGCACCCTCCTGCCCTGGGTCGCAAGCCACCCACCCTTCGCTCCTCCGTCTCTCTTAGCCAGGGCGTGCTGGCCTGCTGTCGTGCCGGAGAGCGCTCTAGCAGAAAAGCGCTAAGTCCTCCACCAAGTGTCACTGTGACAAACCCAGACCTACTGGGATATGCCACACGTTAACACTAAGCTGCCACCAACCATTCCCTGTAAGGAGTCACACAGACCAGGAATGGATTTTCAACAAATAAATGAATAAGGTTTATTTAAAACAACACACAGGGAAAATAAAATGATCAGGTGAATAAGATATAGTAACGTGGCTTAGTCTCATTCATACATGCACACAGTTTGGTTCACACAGAACACTTAACTTGAAGCACAGACCCTGAACCTATCAGTTCTGGCTACCCATACAGACACCTGAACCTATCAGGTTGGTACTGACTGACACACAGTAGTACCCTGTCTGACACACAGACTCCCACACCAGCTTCTTCTTCCCAGCTGCTGCTTCTTCTCCAGCTTCTCCTCACACGCTCCACATATATATACAGTACAGCCCCTCCTCCTGATGTCCCGCCTTCCACTCCCCATAGGATGGAACTTTCCCTCCAAACCCATGACAGACAGGTAACATCAGTGCTGTATGTAACAGTCACATCCCAAACCTCTGCAGGATGGGGGGGGGCAAACTGCTTGGGCTGTGTCGTGCAGACACACTCGGAGTCGAGCTGAGATATACTTCAATACCACCCGTGGGTGTCCAGAGAAACATCAACAACGTCCTGTGTGACCAACGTTGCCCGTTCTCATATGCTGCGGGTGTCCATGGAGTAGAACGGGCTTCCTTTCTGAATTCCTGATGCATTTCTTTCCAGGTACAGATTTAGTGTAATGCCAACGCGCAGCAAATGCATTCATGCAGACGGATGATGGCACAGCTTTGTCTGTCACTGGGAGGCTGACTCTAGTGCTGGGATACTGAGAAGTTACTTATGCTTTTCCCCTGGTGCCCAGCATCCTAGGCTTGCCACATCTGAGCACTGATGCCCTTGTGGGGGGCTCTGGAGCCTGGCTGGCATCCTAGGGCACATTGCGCATGGGTTGTGTTGACAAGCAGATGGCATTCCGCCCTCGTCCCTGATCACCAAGCGGCTTTCTCGTAAGCCCTATTAATCTCCCCGTAGAAGTCCCCTGACACAGTGTGTTTATTTGTGGTGCGGTTTCCCTTGAACAAGGATCCCGTCGTCAGGGTAAACACTCATACGGCGCCACCGAAAGCAACTGGTGTGCCTACCTCAGAGTGGTTGTGGATGATGGGCACCTTGACACCATCCCTGATCTCCCTTCTTAGGGTTCCCGATTCACGGCACTTCAAACAGAGGGACTGTTCTCTTTAAAACGTGGCCTCCAGTTATAAACTTACACAGTGCAGAATCTGCTTTCTAAGAATTAAATCAAGTTTCTAGTCCTTAGGCTTGCCAAAGGTCTGCTGGAGACCTGCAGGGAGTGCCTGGCAAAACCTCCAGAGGTGGAGCTGTTGAATTAAAATAAGAGAAGAGGAGGTTTTGAGAGTTGAACAGCGTTCCTTCCGTGACTAGCAAAACTGGCATTTATGGGGATACGAGGGAGGGTATTCTCAGTGGCAGCCCCCAGATTATGCGATGTTCTCCCTACTGTCCTTCCATCGACAGCCAAAGACTCCGGGAGTGCCTGGCAAAACCTCCAGAGGTGGAGCTGTTGAATTAAAATAAGAGAAGAGGAGGTTTTGAGAGTTGAACAGCGTTCCTTCCGTGACTAGCAAAACTGGCATTTATGGGGATACGAGGGAGGGTATTCTCAGTGGCAGCCCCCAGATTATGCGATGTTCTCCCTCCTGTCCTTCCATCAACAGCCAAAGACTCGTCTTTTCAGGCAGGCTTTTAACATTCATGACGGAATCCCTGAATGCCATTTTTAAAGTTAAGATAGTTTTTAATGTTTTGCCTCTCTTAAATTGTTGAGTCATATTTTAATTAGTTTCATAGTTTTAAAAACAAAGTATAACACTGATTGAAATACCATATTTTTCTGTGTATAAGACCCCCACTTTTCTAAACAAAAATTTCTTTCTTTGCAAAAAGCTGCTTTCTCCTTTGCAAAAACTGGAGGGGGAAAGCAGGGATCAAAGCGCTTTGACCTCCCCTTCTTACTTCTGTGTATAAAACGACCCTCAATGTTTCCTCTTAATTATTTTAGGAAAAAGTGTCATTTTATACACGGAAAAATACGGTATGATTGAATAATTAAAGAGATGTATATTTTACTGTGTGTTTAATTTGAGTCTTTTTAAAACTGTGAGCTGCCTTGGATCCCCTTGCCTGGAGAAAGGTGGCCAATAAATAAGACAAATATACAAACAAATAATTTTTGTCATAGTAGTAGAATTAGGAATGGGGACAAAGTTCTCTGTTTTTATTGACGGTGACCTGCAATAGCATTTTCGTTGAAGGTGACATGCAATAAAATCTGATACTCCACCATGGAAAGCAAAATTACCCTTAAATATCTTGGGAGCTGAAATACCAAAAAGATCATCTCTCCCCCCTCCTGTCTCTTAAGTTGGACTGTGAAGACTCTGTGGCATTACCCTGTTGGTATCTGAGTCATGTCTGGAGTGAATGCAGGAGATTAAAAAGGTGATCAGAGGTCTCAAGAGGGACTGTTTGCAGCCCAGTAAGTCTATCCTCAAACTGCATACATTCTGAGGGAGCTGCAAGGGATTATGGGCCTTGTAGGATTCCCCCCCCATGCAGAGACTACCAGACCCGTAATCCCTTGCAAGTCCCTAAGAGCTAAGTAAGCCCTACTCTAATTTTCCATGTTTTCTCTACAGGAAAAAAAATGGCATTTCAAGTCTGAAGTCATTAGTTTGAGAACTTGAAAACCTTTGTCAGGACTTTGATTAAAGCCTCAAGAAGTCTAGCTGGGGAGGCGTGGGGATGCCTAAAGAATTCTGGGTGCTGTAGTCCACGAATTCCATGTCTACTTGGCTCCCTAGATTTTCTTTCTTTCTTTCTTTCTTTCTTTCTTTCTTTCTTTCTTTCTTTCTTTCTTTCTTTCTTTCTTTCTTTCTTTCTTTCTTTCTTTCTTTCTTTCTTTCTTTCTTTCTACTGGCGATGCCTGAGGTTGCCAACCCCCCAGAGAGGCCTGGAAGGAGAGAACAAGAACCTGGGCCTTCTCTGTAGTTGCCCCTCAATTGTGGAACGAACGAACGAACGAATGACTGTCCGAAATTCGCCTCCCCCGTTCCTTGCTAACTTCAAGAAATCTTTGAAAACCTCTCCGTTCAGGCAGGCTTTTCAAACTATTCCATCTTAGTAGCCACCGAGGGTACATATTTAACACCTATCGCTGCTGGTGGTTTGAATTTTATTTACTGATGGAATTGAATTTATTGTAGTTGTGTTTCCGATTTCATTTTTTTTAAAAAAGAAATGTTTATTCTATTATGTTTATTTATGATTTATGACTATGATTTCTGGTTTATGTTTCTTGTTCTTTTCCTAGCCAGCAGGACCTCTGGTCAGAGGAGTGCTTTAAAAAAGAAGTTATAATAAATAATTAAATAATAAATATAAATAAAAGAGGCAATAAAATAAGGGGAAAAAACAGAAGGAAAAGTTGGGGAATCAGCCGTGGACGTTCCTCTCCCTCCTCCTGTGGCGTTGGAGAGATCCAGGGCTTTTTAGGCAAGCTTCCTGCTGCACGATTGTCTTTTCCCTCACATTTTCCGCCTCTGTTTCAGATGGAGGCTGAGCTGCCGGAACAGCCCAAGGCAGCCGAGGTGATGTCAAATTACACAGAGAAGGAGAAGGCCCAGGAGGTTCACCGGCGAGGCCGGCTGAGCGCTGAGGAGTTGAGCAAAATTGAGGAAGAGGAGGTGCTGGATAAAATGGTAGGTGGCAGCTGATCGAGGAGTAAACTGTGTCGACGTGTGGCTTCTTTGGGTGTAAACAAAGCCCAAAAGGTGGCCAAATAAGGTCATCACTGGAGTATATATGTACAACTGCTTTTTACAGGCTGAATAGGAGCCAACCGCGTGATGTGGCTGCAAAAAAGGCCAATGCTATTTTGGGTGGCATTAACAAAAGGAGAGTCTCCAGATCCTACGAGGGGCTCGTTCCCCCTCTATTCAGCCGTGGTGATCCATGAGTTCTGATTTTTGAGCTCTGTGTTCAGTTCTGGACACTGCGCTTCAAGAAGAACACCGACAAACTGAACCCAAGTTCAGAGGAGGGCAACAAGGAGGATCAGGGGGCTGGAAAGCAAGTCCTAGGAGGAAAGGGTAAAAGAATTGGGTATGGTTAGTCTTGAGAAAAGAAGATGGAGGGGAGATAGGAGAGCACTTTTAAAAAACTTGAAAGGTTGTCCTATAGAGGAGAGGCAGGACCTGTTCTCCATCCTCCGAGAGTGCAGGACACACAAGAATGGTTGAATATCTATAGAGGAGAGGCAGGATCTGTTCTCCATTCTCTGAGAGTGCAGGACACAAAAGAATGGTTGAATATCAGAAAAACTTCATAAGTGTTAGAGCAGTACGACAATGGAACCCATGAGGTGGTGAGCGCTACAGCGCTGTGGAGGCCTTCAAGAGAAGTTTAGACCACCACCTGGCAGATGTCCTTTGACTTGTGTTCCTGCCTTGAGCCGGCAGTTGGGCTCCATGGCCTTCGAGGCCCCCTTCCCACTCCATTATTTCTGTGATTCTATGCTGGCCCATACAAGGTTCTGGATCTCATTTCTTTTTTTAATGGTCCTTTTAGGATTTGGACCCTGTAAATGGGGATTGTGAGTGGGGTTCTAATGGGTGCTGAAGGATTTTGCAGGGTGTTTGCATTGTGGAAATACAGAATTGTAGAGTGGGAAGGAAAACTAGAGGCCGTCTAGCCCACCCCTTGTGGGGCAGGAAATCCACAGTTTGGGGGAGGAAAAAGAAGAAGGTGTGAATGAGTGAGTAGGTGGGGGTGCCTTCTTTTACACCTTACTCCTCTTCCTGTAGCTCGACCAGACCACAGACTTTGAGGAGCGGCGGTTGATCCGGGCGGCCATGCGGGAACTGCGCCAGAGAAAACGAGGTATTCTCCCCACCCTGTCCCCGGCAATGAGTTTCAGAGTTGTACGTTTCAGAGTTCATGCGAAAACTTACTAGAAGGGTGGAAGAGGGAAAGGTGGAGAGTTGGTTTCGGAGGAGCAAGGCGTCATTCAGAATTGGGAGGTGGAGGCTCCTCGGAATTAGAATGGAGTAATTAAACCCATTTACAGAGGAGGAAGAGAGCTACCAGGTGTGTTTTAACAGATATTCTCCAGGACAGCTAAATGGAGCCTCCATGTTCTGCAGCAGTCTATATTGAAATAACAGGCCTTGGGGATAACCCATGGAGAAACCCTTCATCTTCCTACCCTTCTTGTTTTTGAACTTCCCAGCGGCATCTGCTTGGTGCCAGGTGGGTACAGAATGCTGGGAAATGTGGCCAACTTTTTCTTTTGCCCTTGCTCCTGTGCCCGGAGCAGCGTTTGTTTTTCTGATCACTTGGCGGCCCTCAGTCTTGCCATGTCTCTTGCTCAACCTCCGAGGCCTGCAAGTGTTCGCTGGACTGTGCGTAGCTTTCTAAACCCCGGGTGTTTTCCACCCCGTTCCTGCGTGGGAAGGATTGTAGAAGGCAGGAAATTTCCTCGCCAAGAGAGGCGAGGAAATTGATGGAGGGCTTAGGTGTCTTATGGGAACACAGATCATCTTCCTAGCTGGCCTTTTGTGGTCACCCTCCACCTCTACACCTTTTGCCAACGTGATCCCCAGATGATCTGGTGCTTAATCCTGAAGGTGAGAAACTTACTCTTTTAAATCCCACCGGCCCGTATCAAGTTTAACTTACTTTCAGGTTTATCCTTCCACGCATCTTACGAACCAGGCAAACTTTACAGGCAGGAGAGGGCCCCCCCCCAGGCTTGGAATCATCAGCGCGGTCTACCCTCCCTCCCCGGAAGATACTGAGCCCCCTGGGATTGGCGCTGAAGGCTAGGTGGTCGTCTTGTGTGTAGACGCAAATGGCAAATGTTTGGGAAGAGCCAATTCTAACCAGGAAGGTCAGAAAAGGAGGAAGATGGGTGTGAGCCGGTATGGAGAAGAGGTCTGAGTAGGCTCAGGAGACCTGGGTTCGAATCCCCTTTCAGGCAGGAAGCTTGCCAAGTGACCTTGGGCCAGACCTACACACTCTGAGCCTCTCCTACCCCGCAGGGTTGTTGTGTGGATAACTGGGTGAGAGAGGAAAGCCCTGTGCAGCCAGGGAGTCCCCAATTCCTTGACTGTACAAACCGAGCTGTGTGTAAACCCCAGGATGAATGTTGGTGTGTTCTTCATATACGACGTATCTTTCCTCTTTTACTGTCTTCTACTCTCCTCCGCTTGCTCAGTTCTTAGTACCAGGGTGCTGCTCGTACACACCACGCACGGAGACACAAGCAGACGTGTGCAGACACACACACACACACCAATTTGTGGCGAGTGTGTGTGTCCTTATTGTGCCTCTACCAGGCCCCATGTGGCAGAGCCGTACAAAACCCATGTCTCAGCTCTGACACAGTAGGAATGTTCGTGAACATTCCATAGCACCTCCTCAACCAAAGTAGATGGAGAGACTTCATTTGAATGAACTGACCCTGAAGAATTGAAAAGTTGCCCTTCTCCTCCTCCTCTTTTCCTTCTTCGGGCTTTCTTTGGTTGCCTCTATCTCTCAACTTAATGAACCCCCTGAAAGATTTTCCCCAAAGCCTGCGATGATTTTGTAAACAGTAAATGGAAATGAAGTCGGACCACACAGAGCCATGAGGAGCCCTCCTGTCCAAATCATCAAATGGCTTCAGATGGTTCTCCCATTTCTCCTGAGTGTAAAGAGAAGCACCGATTAGTGACAAATGAGGTGGAACTCAGTTTTCTCCAGTGGCCTCTTACGTCCTTGTACGCCACACACGTAATAACCTCTGGACAAACTGCAGGAATCCTGCCTGCCTGTGTACAGTGGCGGCGGTGGAGGTTGTAAGGGTTTTTTGACATGCCCAAGATATTTCATCTCTGCCTTGTTGTGGTAAACTCCTGCGTGGCCTCCGGAGTAATCAGGTTATCATCCTCTACTCTTGCTTGCAAAGGCTCACCCAAAGACCTGGGGCCTAGCTCAGCGGCTGTCCTTTAGCCTGGCCCTACCTCGCAAGGTTGTTGAGAGGATAAAGCAGGGGTGGAAGGAAGCAAATTCTCAAATGCAGTGACTTTGTTAGGGTGAGCTGTCAAGAAAATACACATGCTTTTGATGTCTCCGGGGCTGTTCTTCAAGCTTGCTTGAAGAAGGAACGGGGGAAAGTGTGTGTGTGTGTGGGGGGGGGGTTGCAGGTGTTTTATGCCCTATACCTTTGAAACGAGACTCAGTTCCCAGGTGGGAAAACCTGGCTTCTTTCTTTTTCCAGAGGAAGAGCCGTTAATATGTACTTCCTTGAAAGCTATAGGGAATGGGACGAGAGGCAAATGGATGCCGTGTCTTGTGGCCGCGGTCGAGACGCCGGTCGTCCACGCTTTTGTCTATGGACTGACCCAGTCTGGGGGCGTGTGCTTTGCAGACCAGCGGGAGAAAGAGCGCAGCCAGCGGCTGCAAGAGGCCAAGACCAAAGCGGCCAGCCACACCACCGAGACCACCGCCCGCCAGAAGGCCACGTCGGCCGACGGATCAGCCGTCAGCACGGTCACCAAGACCCAGCGCCTGGTTCAGTCCAGTAAGGAGCTCCTTTTCTGTCGCTCGCTGGAAGGCTTCTCCTCTCTTCTGCTTTTCAACGGAACGGATCGGGCCCTGTCTCTCTTTCCTTTGCTGTGGCCTCACCCCTGGCAAGCACAACTTCCTACAGCTCTCCAGGGAACGCTGCGCCTGTACATCTCTCTCTCTGTCTCTCTCTGAGTGCTTTGTTGCATCTGGCCCCCTCTTTTCTTTCGGCTGATGTGCCTGCTCTTGATTCCCGCTGCCGTCTTTTAACCGTCCCTCCCGATCACCTTACATTGGACCGACCCGGCAAGGCGAATCAGGGCGGCCGTAAGCCGGGAAGGCTCAGCCTTGGCTTTGTGGCATCATGGAGGGGATCGGACAAGATGGTTTAGGCGATCCCTTCCACCTATTCTGCTTTCCATTACTAAGTCACCGCACGCTTGAGAAACAGCTGCAGAAGAGCGGTCCCAGCCCTTGCATCTGTCTGGCTTGTGAGCTTTCTGGAGGTTTTGGGGAAACAGCCTGCTGGGTGAAGTTGCAGGTGGTCCGAGGTGATTTTTCTTAGGGTCCTTTTCTTCCTCTTGAACCAGATGACGGCAGCAAGACGTCCCGCACGATGATGATGGAGGCCAGCTACGTGAAGAGATCGGAAAGTAAGCCCCTTTCTCTGCCACCCTAGAAGAGACCCGAAGGGGGATGGCTAGGGGTCTTGACCGGGTGCAACGCATTTACGTCCAAGCCCGGTCAGATATCCTTTCATGGGCCGACTCTTTCTCTGGAAGCAAGGGGACTCTGGAAGCTAAGGAACTGTTTACGAGCAATGCAGTGGCTAGTTACAAGTCATCTCTGATGGGTAACAAGAGCAAAGTTACATTTGGGAAGTAATGGAATAGCAGGAAGCAAAGTTATTGGACTTAAGGAAAGAGTTACGTTTAATAACTTATTTTATTTTTATGGAATTGGCATACTGCCCAGCTTCATGAACCCCCCCTACTCTGGGTGGTTTACACATTAAAAAACATGGCAAAATGATAACAAAAGTATAAATAAGTCCATTTAAATGCTTTTAAAGCATCAGCTAGCTACCAAACAGCAGACACATAAAATAGACAGCGAGGAAAAAAAAACATCTAAGAGAATTTAGCAGTTAAAAGATTTAAGAACCTAATCAATGTTATTATTTAAGGGTTGTTAAAGGTCACGAGTCGGCGGCCAAGAGAAGGATGCCAGCAGCCTCTCTGAACAGCTATTAGTTTCCTCAAGATTTGAGGTTGCTTTCAAGTTTTAACCTTTTAAGGATGATTTAGGTCATATGGAAGGCATGCTCGTGGAGGCTTTCCAAGTTCTACGCCGGTCCCCTATCAGTTTTGCAGTTTTCTTCGGTTAAAAAAGGAAACAAGACCAAAAGGGACACAGCAAAGTAATTTTTTTCAGCTTGGGAGCAAATAATAGGGAAGCAGTTAAGGGGTAATGGAGATAAATTCTTTTTTAAAAAGTAACTTTCCAAGTGATGCTAAGGAGGCGTCCGGCGTTGATGTGAAAACAGTTGCAGAAGAGGGGGTGGTCACAGGGCAGGAGAATCATCTCGGGGGCAAGCTGCGGGCGCTCTTCTGTCCCAAGTATTTACGGGGGCTTCGTTTATTAAATGTCAATACGATTGTACTCCTCCTTGGTTCCCGTCCAGGCGCTCTCCGGCCGTAGGGAACTGGGCAGAAAAACGACTCCGCTGTTCTGTTTCTTATTTCCTTTTATAAACAGGCCAGAGGGCTGCGTTCTCCCTGCCCCTTTCTAAATTAAATCACAAAATCTGGAGATAGAGCTTAAGAGAATAGAGTTTCTCCCACAACTGGCATTTCAGTTGGCTTTTCTTCCCCTTCCCGTGTTCACCTTTTTAAGGACAATCCAGGCATAGGCACCGATCTGGGGGCATGTGTTCCCCCTCTTGTCTTCCCCCCAGTCTTGATTTGTGGTGGCCTCATTTCCCTTCCCCACCCATATTAAAAGGAGACTGCAGCTCCGCCCCCCCAGAACCCCCAAGTGTCTATGGAGTACAAACACTATACAGTGGTGCCTTGCTTAACGACGATAATCTGTTCCAGGAAAATCGCTGTTAAGCGAAAACATCGTAAAGCGAAATTTAAAAACCCATTGAAACACATTGAAAACCGTTCAATGCGTTCCAATGGGCTAAAAACTCACTGTCCAGCGAAAATCCTCCATACGGCAGCCATTTTCGGTGCCTGTAGTGAGGAATCCATCCCTAAGCACAGCAGGGAGCCATTTTAAGCACCCAGCGGTCATTTTGAAAACCCGACGATCAGCTGTTTTTGATTGTCGTAAAGTGAAAATCGGTTCCCGAAGCAGGGAGCCGATCATCGCTAAGCGAAATTCCCCCATTTAAACCATCGTTTTGCGATCGCAATTGCAATCGCAAAAACATCATCGTAAAGCAGATTCATTGTAATGCGGGATAATCGTTAAGCAGGGCGCGACTGTATTCTCAGAATTGCAGGATTCTGAGATGGGAATTCTTTTTTGGTAGAACCAACGGGAGTTCTCGGAATGGCGCATGCCTTAAAAAGCATTACGGGCAGAGTTGTTTTGTGCTTCTAGGATTAAAGCGGTTAAGATTCAGAAATCTTTGCAGGTTTAGTTCAGATCCACTAGAAATCCACCAGCAAAATCCAGTCCACGTTCTCTTCCGAGTGCTGCCACCATGGCGTGTGGTTTGTGGCATGCACGCAGCCCTGTCTGGTTTGGGTCCGAATCTCCCCCTATGAGCCTCCCCAACCCTAAAGGTCTTGAGAGGAGGCCCTCCTCTCGGGCCCATTGCCATCACAGGAACATTTGACGGGGACACGAGGCAGGGCCTTCTCTGCGGCTGCTCCCAGGCGGCGGAATCGGCCTTTGGCCGATGGTCAAAGACCGCCTCTTCATGCAAGCTTTTAATGACAATGCTTGAGTCCCTCGATGCTGGGGTTTTGCCTTCTCAGAGTTTGCTTTTCAAGTTTTCACTGTTTTCAATGACTTAATTGACTTTTAGTTGTTATTGAATTGTTTTTAATTATCTGTACTTTCTTTTATTTTTATTGTTCCTTGTTTTAACATTGTGAGCTGCCTTGGGGTCCCCTCGCTGGGAGAAAGGCAGCCTACCAAGGACCCCCAAATACACCGCAGTGCAGTGCAATAATTAATGGCTCATCTCTCTCTCTCTTTTTTTTTTTTGGCTCGTCTCCGTCTCTCTCCTGGTAGACGGCAGCACCTTCGTCCAGACCAAATCATCCTATACTTCCTCTTCCTCGAAGAAAGTGGGCAGGTGAGTCCGAAGTTCGTCCCCATCAAGCAAGGCTTTCCTCTCCCGGCTTCCGAGGGCTGCGGAGACATTTCAACAGCATCCCTCTCGGGGTTGACTCTCACGGGACAGCTCTTCGTGGGATTCTTCTCCCCTGAGGACTTGGGGCAGACTTTTGGGGATTTAGGTTCTGGTTCTGAAGCGAAAGCACCGGCTTGTGGGGCAATTAGAGGTCCTCTGTTTCAGCATCCAGGTGGAGCATACCTGTCTGGACGTTTCGCTGCATCTGACCTCACAGGAAGTCAACCCAGGTGGATTGGAGTGTCTCCGTGGGGTTAATGCAGCCGGGCAGACCCTGGAAAGGAGGGGAAAGCGACCCACTGATCTTTGCTCACAGCCTGCCCCCTTCCACCTCCTTCCCAGAGATGGACCCAGAATCTAGGGAAAGGAGGACCCACGGTGGGGCCGGAGTGAGTGCTTGGAGCTCCTCTCCTGCAAGGGTTCCCCACCTTGAGTCACCCTGGTGTTCTTGGACTGCAACTCCCAGAATCCTTCACCACCCAATGTGCTGGCCAAGGTTTTTGGGAGCGGCAGTCCCGAGAACGACCGGGGGGGTGTCACCCAAAGATGGGAGCTGCCGCTCTACGAGATACAGTTCGCGACAGCTCTGGAGCCCAAAGGGCGGCTGCCGAGCCGGTCCATACGCGTGTTTATTTTTTGAGTTATAAATATCTCTCTTTTTTCCCCCACAACATTTTAAAAGCCGTTTACAGAAAAGATTAAAATAGGTAAACACTGCATGCAAAACATGGGGAAAAGCCGTAACGTAGCATCAGAACCTCAAGAGAGAGCCCATTTCCTGTCCAAGCCGTGGTAAATAATAAAACCCTTTATAAAATCGAAGTGGTAAGATTAGTTATAGGATTTATTCCAGAATCTAGGGCTTCTCAGGTCCCTCGAAAAGGCAGAGGAACGGGAGCTGTCGTGTCTCCCTTGGAGCAGAGTTCATGGGGGGGGGAATGATGCTGCCATGAAAAGGGGCCTTGTTTCCTGGCTCCTGCCCCCCCCCAGATGATGCCTCAAGAGGGCTGAGCCCCAGATGCAGGCATTGACAGTCCAGTGGGACTCTTGACCGCTGGGGTGGTGAGAGTCAGCCACTTTGGCTGTCCTAATAATTGGGTGCCGTCAATTCTGAGTCAGGATGAACCTTCCCAGGGTTTTCTAGGTAGAGAAGACTCAGATGTGCTTTACCTTTTCCTTCCTCTAGGGGGCAACCTTGGGACTACTGCACAGCTGGCCCCAGGACACCCTGGCTGGCTCTTCTCCCAGGAGGCCCAGTGGGGGGAATTGAACTCACCCCCTCTGGCTCTGCAGCCAGAGACCTAAACCACTGAGTTACGCAGCCAGCATCTTGTCTATCATGTGACCCCCCCCCCCCTTTTTGGCCTCCTGGAAAACATTGGTTGAGATAGGGCACCATCATTGGGAGCTGATGCGTTGAGAGTCACGGTGAGTTCCAAACACCAGTAGGCAAGGAATAAGAAGTTGATGGAGAATTTTTTTCCCTCTCCTCCTTGGCCCTCCGAAAATCCCGTCAACTGGGTCCAAAACTTGCCCGTTTGGGAGACCCAGTTGCCGAGACCATCGCTTGCCTCTTGGGAGAGATGATTGCCACGGCCCTAGTTTGGCCAAATTTTGGCAGAAGACTCTAACCTTGGAACCCTTGGATTGGGACGTTCAAGGGGGGGCGGCGGTTAATCGTATCCTTCCCAGTCAGCCCCACTGTCCTCCCCCCCGCCCGCAAAATCAGGAGCCATTTAGCGTTCCTGTTCCTGGCGCCTCTCACTTCTCCCTGTTTTTGCTGGCTGTCCCTCCCAGCATCTTCGAGCGAGAGGACGAGAGCCCCGGGCGGGCGGGCAGCTTGGCCGCCCTGGAGCGGCGCCAGGCCGAGAAGAAGAAGGAGCTGATGAAGGCTCAGAGCCTCCCCAAGACGACCACCTCGCAGGCCCGCAAGGCGATGATCGAGAAGATGGAGAAGGAGGGCGGGAGGTGAGCGGCTGGAGGCCGGCGGGAAGGGCAGGCGGGCGGGTGGTCTAGAACGGAAGGAAGAGATGGAGTGGACAGGCTGGTGAGTTAACAAGGCAGCATGATGATGATGTTAGAAGAAAACATGGGTCTTGGGAGAGGGAGCCTCCCACGGTCTTCCCGTACTGACCAAAGGCTTCTCCTTCTTAACATAGTGGTTCTCAAACTGGGGGGGGGGTCCCCACAGGTGTTCCCATACTACAACTCCCAGAAATCCCGGCCAGCACAGCTGGTGGTGAAGACCTCTGGGAGTTTGAGTTCAAGAACATCTGGGGGGCCCAAAGTTGGCAACCAAGGTCTTAAAACAGGATCTAGGGTTGGCCTGATTTTTCACACACACCCCTAGGAGCCACCGAGGGTGGAGCCGCCATCGCTTCCCCCACCCCAGAAAAAATAAAATTACACACACAACCTACAGTTGGATCACACAAGTTATTCCCCCCCCGAAAAAAACAAGTAAAGGCTTGAAAAGACATTTTAACAAATATCTGTTCTATTCTAAGCCCATAAAATGGGGGATTTTTCATTTCTTATTTTTAGGAAATCCCTTCCCTGCCACAGGTGGGGAATAAACCCTTTTAGTTGTAATAAAACCGTGCGAGGCCCCCCAATTAGGGGACCCAGATCAATTCTCTCTGTTTTCTCTCCACAGCCCGGCCAACCCGGCGATGTCACGGGTCGCCGTCCAGCGGTCCGCGAGCTTTGGGGTCCCAAATGCGAACAGCATCAAGCAAATGCTGCTGGATTGGTGCCGCGCCAAAACCCGGGGTTACGAGGTGAGCGCCTCGAGGGGCACGCGCACCCGGTGGGGCTGCCCCTTTTCTCCTCGCCTCCTGTTTCCCTGAAAGTTCTCACGGTTGGGAACGGCAGTTCCGCGAGACGAGTTTCCAACTTTTGAGAACGGGAGCAAAGAAGCCCCTCCCAAAAGCCAGCAAGGACCCAAGCAGCCTTCTTGTGAGACCGGCAGAGAACCTCTCTCTGTCCGTCGATCCAGCCAGCCCAACCGGCCGGTCATCGGAGCGCTCGCCCTCTGGCTTCCTGTCGCTTGAACCCATTCTTCCACTTGGGGGGCTGTGTCCAAGAACGCCCTCCGCCGTGCTGCTGTATCACACCCTGTTCTCCATGGTGGGACACGGAGGAGGGCTGCCCCCCCATCAGATCTTTGTGATCCGGTCTGTTGAGGCGTTCCTTCAGTTCTCTAGGGCAGTGGTCCCATAACCTTGGACCTCCAGATGTTCTCGGACTGCAACTCCCAGAAGCCTTCACCACCAACACCTCTGCTGGCCAGGATTTCTGGGAGTTGAAGTCCAAGAACATCTAGAGGCCCAAGGTTTGGGGACCACTCCTCTATGGGTTATGGGCTTCTGGGACGCCACCAGGAGGGGCCCAAGGGAGACCGTGGGCGGGCCGCGTTTGACCCGAGGCGCTGCCCTCTGCTCCCCTCGCCTTGACCTGTGGTCCTCTCCTTCCTTGCCTCGACAGCACGTGGACATCCAGAACTTCTCCTCCAGCTGGAGCGACGGGATGGCGTTCTGCGCCCTCGTTCACAACTTCTTCCCCGACGCCTTTGACTACGCACAACTTTCCCCCCAGGATCGACGGCATAACTTCGAGCTGGCCTTTTCGGCGGCCGAGTACGTATCCCATCTGACCCCCCTTGGGACCGGGCCCATTATCCTCGGCTGGGTCCAAGCACCCTGATGGGTTTGCTGATGCCCTGGAGAATGTTTGGCCCGTGTGTGTGTGGGGGGGGGGCGGGAAGGTAGTGGGGGGACCTCTCCTTAGAGCTGCAACTGCTTCCTGTTTGGGTGGGTGGCCCTGGATGAGATGGGAGGGTTGTCCCATTGAAGCCCCCGACAGAAACGGAATCTGCTGGGCTTCCACCTCGTCTTACGGCCCCACAGCGACGCTGGCTAAACATCATGGCTCTTCATGGAAAGCCTGCTGCTCTCACCATCTCTGAAAATTCTCTATGCAGAAAAGCTCACTCCACTTGTTTTAGAGAATTCTTCCATGTTCCCTGAATTGCAGATTTTTTAAAATGTCTTCTGGTGGCTTGCAGGGGGAGAGGGGGGACCATAACAGGGAAGTGAACATCCCCACCCCGCAGCCTGGCCTACTGCTACCAATGCTTTTAATAGGCATCAGTCCATATGCTTGCGGCAAGCGTACGATGATAGGCTCATAAGGAAACCTGTTTCTGGATGGCTTTTTGAAAGGATCTCAGAATCCTAGAATCACAGCATTGGAAGGGGCTTGTAAGGCCATCTAGTCCAACCCGCTGCTCAGTGCAGGAATCTAAACCAGGGCAGGTCTGACAGACCCAGTTTTCTCCTGAAGGTCTCCACCATTCAAATGAGAGGTGAGCAAATTTTGGATCTTGGGGACCCAGAACCCCCCACCTGCCCACCTCTAATGGCAATGGAAGCGGCGTCTGATGCGGTTCCTGTAGGTTTCTCCCCCAGATCCATCGCTCTCTACGCCCCGCTTGGGTGAGAGGACCCCGGGTGCCGTGCTGAGGTGGGGAGGCAGTTGCAATGGAGAGCTGCTGACCGCCTGGGGGAGTGCATCCGTGGCCTGTCCGTGGCTTTGCTGTGGGAGCCCCTAAACGACCACCTTTCTGAGTTGTCCAGCCCGATGACCACCCGCCTTCCGTTGTGTGGGGCGGTTTGGAAAGGGCCTGGCGGGAACTGCTCAAACTGTTGTTTTCTGGTGCAAGGGCTTCGGACGGCGCACTTTCTTTAATCCTTAAAAGCTTGAGCGTTGGGGGTGCTGGGGCAGCTTGGTGAGAGGGCCTCAGCAATGGGTTGGTCCCTCGGGGGCCTGGCTGGCTGGGCACTGCTGTGGCTGATTCAGCTTAGCCTCCCTGGGTGCTGTGCCAATGGCAGGCCCAGCAGACAGGCACAGAGCGGCGAGGGGGTAAAAAAGCCTCTTTCTTCTACCTTTCTTAGTTGAGACTCTCTCTTCAGCCCCTCTCCCTGGTGCTTCTCCTTTCCTTTCTGACACGTCCTCTCAGGCCTGGGCTGTCCGCCCCTTCCTCACCTGAAAGGGGACCAGCAAATTCCTCGTGAGCCGTGTTGGACATCCAAGGTCCCCCACTTCACTTAGGAGCATTTTGGGACATTGTAGGATTTGGCACTCCCGAGAGAGAGAGAGAGGTTGGGTGAATCCCACAGACTCTGTAAGGTCAAACTGACTTACCCACCTGAGGGCCCTTTTTCCTCCCATCTGTGCCCGTGCCCCCCCCAAGGACGCTGCCTGGTGGGGGTCTCGCCAACATCAAACCTCTTGGAATAGAAGGAAACCCCACAGTGCCATCTGAGACAGACACCTATGGAAGGAGATGTGCTGTCAGATCTCCTAGCCCCACATGGCTTAGGGCCTTTGGAGAGAAACAAGGGCAGGCTTTCCGGGGAGCCTGTGTCGATAGATGGCTGCAGCCAGTGGCTTCCTTCCTTAAGAGCTCTTCCTGGACCGGTCCTCCTGCCTGCTCCATCACTCTCAGACATCCCATTTGAATCCGGATAGAGTTGCTCCTTGTAGGGTTAGGAAGACACAAACCGCTCGCCAGGGGTCTCAGAATCTGAAATAAAACTAGAGTTACCCTAGTTTGGGGCAGTTCGTGGAATTTGTGCAATTTGCAAAGTTTTGCAAATTGTTCGGTTGCCCAGAAAACCCAGGCTAGTTTTGTGCAGGGGGGAAAAAAAGATGGTTTGAACAAAACAGGATTCTTGATCAGGAGTGCCAGAAGATTCCATTCCAGGGAGGAAGATGCCCAAGTTGGTCACCCTCCCCTGTCAGGATGGAAACAGCAAAGATTTACCATATTTTTCAGTGTATAAGACATCCCATGTAGAAGACGCCACCAATTTTCTAACCCAAAATTAAGATATCTAAGTGGGGCTTAGCAAGTGTAGGGGGAAAGGGATCAAAGCGCTGCAGGATTGCTTCAATCCCTGCTTTCTCCCTTCATGCTAAGCCCGGTGGGGCTTAGAAAAAGGAGGCGGAAAGGGATCAAAGCAATTCTGCAACTGCATGATCATTTTGATCTCTTTCCCCCTTATACAGCCATGGGATTGCTTTGATTCTTTCCTCCCTCCTTTTGTTAAGCTCCATGGGACTTAGCAAGCAGAGGGGAAAGCAGGAATCAAAGCGATCCTGCAGCGCTTTGATCCCTGCTTTCCTTTTGCTAAGGATTAGCAAGTGGAGGGAAAAGCAGGGATCAAAGCCCTGCAGGAACAATTTGATCCCTGCTTTCCCCGTCCACTTGTTTTTGTTCTCTCCTCAGCTTACTTCCGTGTATAAGACAACCCTCAATTTTTAGTCTAAATTTTTTATACAAAAGTATAGTCTTATACGTGGAAAATATGGTACATCCCTGATCTGGAAGACTGCCCCCTTCCTTGCTCCTGAGATACAAACTTTGCGGAGCTGGCCCCTCTGGGCCACCAAACCTCAGGCCCTTTTATAAATGCCGTTGAGAGCCAGATGTTCCCGTGGAACGGCTACCAACCCAGAGGGCCTCCTTCATGCGGGCCCCTGGTGGCTTTCCTAGCCTGCAGGGTTGCGTGCACCTGTGACTTCCTCTCGGCCCACCTCTTCTTCCCCCGGAAGAACCCAGTCTGTGGGCCCCGAGAGCAGCCGACTCCCTCCTCCCACGGCCCGAACTCCTGTGCTGCCGCAGCCCCTTCCCCGTGTCTCCCTCTCGGCTTCAGGCACACCAGCTGTGCGGTGGCCCAGTTCCAAGGACGAGGCGAGAGCCGTTTCCCGCGGCCCTATAACCGCAGCCGTAGGGAAAGAACGCTTCGCCTTGGAATGGGCGCAAGAGCACCGCTCTTCTCTTGCCCTGTCTGTCTCTTCTCCTCCTCTTCCTCCCTCTCCACCTGTCCGTCTCGGCTTGTGTTCCGACCCGGAGCTGTGCTCCACCTTGCTCATGCCCGGCACACCTTGCTCCCGGTGATCCTTCTGTTGCACCCTTTCCTTGTCGGTCTCACTTGTATGACGTGCGAGTCCCAGCGTGTGTGTGTGTCTGCGTGCGTGTGTACGTGCGTGCCACAGCCCCTCCCGTGTTTGCATTGCACGTCTATCCCCGAGCATGTACATGGGTCTCACACAGAGAATGTCAATTGGATTTATGTTATCTCTTGTGTTTTTTCCCTCCGGCCTCTTCCTGTTTCTTGGT